GTCTTCCTTCATAAAATTTTCATCTCTAGTCAAAGCGTCAGCGAGAATGTTATCTTTGCCCTTTATCATATATCATATTCTTGTAACAATAATACGCCATGATGGATTTAGTCGTTAACCAATTTATTTTTCATTATGTGAATAAGAGCAGCATCTTTTGTTTCGATTATAAATTTCAAACCTAACAAAAAAATCTTATTGTGTTGACACAGAAAAACACATTCTATTTCAGTCACGCTGTATTTCCTTTAATGTGTTTTAGTTACTCTAGATATAAAACAGACGGGTACCTCTAAAGCATGTTCTTGTTCTTAACCCCATTTCCATCGTATATTTTTCTTTAGCAGGCTGATTAATGCTACCTCCTTTTGAGATATCCGTAATAAGTTTTTTGAAATTATATTGATCATTACAATAAAACCCCGTAATATTCTCAAATTTGTTGGCCGGGGGTAATCTTGAATGACTTTTGCCCCATCTTTCGCCAAACTTATTCCATTTCTATCAAGTTGAAATCCAAGATAGATGACTTCTCGATGGGAAAATTTGCACTTTTCTGTTTTTTCTACGGTTTTAATATTGTCTAAATAATTCTCCAAATCAGGTGAGAAAATCGATATAGTGTACTACAAATCCATCATGTTTATTTAAAAAAGTATGTAATGTACGAACTAAACCTGTACATGCACTTTGTAAACCGAAAGGTACTACTCTGAATCGATAAATTTCGCCGTCGTTGGATAATACGGTGTAATCTCTGCAATTCTCCCCCAGTGAAATCAACCAAAAACTATGTTCAAAATTTATTTTAGAGAAAAAATTTGCTCCTCTTATGCTCCTAAAATTGATTCTATGTTCAAAGGTTCATATTAATATACTGTATGTTGACTAATATTTAGTATATCTAAACATAAGATAATTTGCACTATAATTTGACAAATTTTCCATTTTTTAAGTATGATCATATGTTATAGAATATAATAGAAATATGATTTATTGTGAATGAAAATTGTATAACTTTATGGACAAAGCTTACAAAAAGTAAAAAAATAACACTAAAATTACATAATTCGACAAGATCAGAAAATAAAAGATAATAAAATATAAAGATATACAATCCATTGCAAAATTTAACTAAATTGCAAATTGCATATTAAAACTTTACGAACTAATTAAGTTGCTGCATGTGATACTCAAATATATAAATATAAAAATACATTATTTAGTTGTTTGCGCCTAAACGTAGTGTTATTTCTTAGTTATTCGTTAAGAAACTCTTCCACTGAATAATATGGTCTTTCAGATAGATAGGCTTTTGTCAATTTACGGAACTTAAGGAAAGAAGTTGTAGATTTAAGTTGTAAAGGGAGATGGTTGTATAATGTTTTGCCAAATATAATATAAATTCCTTTACTAACTCAGTGGAATGGATCGGTAAGTATACATCAAAGGTTGAATTTCTGGTGGAATAATCATTCATGAAAAAACATGTAGGTATGAAGAGTTAAAATCCTGTGATTTTTCAAGTAGCTTCTGCAATGTGTTATTTTACTGAAGCGAAAAACATACCATATTGCTCTTTTTTGTAATTTAAAAGAAAAATTATTAGATTGGGCAGCTGTACTAGAACCCCAAAAAGGAATTTCATATCGAAGATGAAACTCGAACAAAGAAAAATATGTTATTTTGAAAGATGCTAAATTGCTTTCCTTCGAAATAGATCTTAGTGCATAGCAGGCTGAGGCTAGTTTTGTACTTAACAAATTGATATGAAGAGACCATAAGGTTTCTTAATATTGTTCTGAAGCTATTTTCGTCAATAAAGCTAAACGTCAATAAACGTATTTTTATCTTTAATTGTGGCTTATTCCCAGTTATAAATAGTAATTAAGACCATAAGGTTGCTGTCCATAAAAATACCAAGAAATTTTACAGAATCAAAGACACTGATCTAGCCGTTATAAGAAGCCAGGGTTAAAGAGCTACTTTATAGGATAATGCTACTGTCTTATCCACGTTAAATGGATATCTTTTATCATAACCATGTCACTGTCGATTTTCACGTATTTTTCCACAAAATTTATTTATTTATTACTTATATATTTATTTGGTTCTTTTATCGTTCAATTCGTCTGCTCTCACGACCATATCATATTTCATATGATCAGTCACAACAAAGTACATAAAATAGTAATTGTTTTTAAATTTAACTTTCATTCCTATTCCCTGATAATCGCCGTTAATTTTTTATTATTAATGTCCACAAGGAGTACCCTCGGAATTTTATATATAAATATATAAAAAAATTTATATATTTATATTGTATATAAACATATTAAATATAAATCGGTTTAAATTGAATTCATCAACCAGACGTTTATTTATCAAAGAAATTACTGATCAGGCATCAATATGTATCTGTTCCTTTATATTTTTAATAAACCCATTCAATCAAAACTAAATTCAATCTTTGAACTTCTACTTTATTTTCCGTTAATTTGATAAATTCGCGTGGATAACAAAAAATTTTGGGTTTGCTTTGATTTTTATTTAGTAGGTGCCTTCATGAAAAGACGAACCGTGAGATCTTGTTTACCGACATATCACTTCTGATGTTGAAGTTGAAATTCAAGATAGATGACTTCTCGATGGGAAAATTTGCACTTTTCTGTTTTTTCTACGGTTTTAATATTGTCTAAATAATTCTCCAAATCAGGTGAGAAAATTAATATATCATCGATATAGTGTACTACAAATCCATCATGTTTATTTAAAAAAGTATGTAATGTACGAACTAAACCTGTACATGTACTTTGTAAACCGAAAGGTACTACTCTGAATCGATAAATTTTGGCGTCGTTGGATAATGCGGTGTAATCTCTGCAATTCTCCCCTAGTGGAATCAACCAAAAACTATGTTCAAAATTTATTTTAGAGAAAAATTTGCTCCTAAAATTGATTCTATGTTCAAAGGTTCATATTAACATACTGTATGTTGACTAATATTTAGTACATCTAAACATAAGATAATTTGCAGGATAATTTGACAAATTTTCCATTTTTAAAGTATGATCATATGTTATAGAATAGAATAGAAATATGATTTATTGTAAATGAAAATTGTGTAACTTTATGGACAAAGCTTACAAAAAGTAAAAAAATAACATAAAATTACATAATTCGACAAGATCAGAAAATAAAAGATAATAAAATATAAAAATATACAATCCATTGCAAACTTTAACTAAATTGCAAATTGCATATTAAAACCTTACGAACTAATTAAGTTGCTGAATGTGATACTCAAATATATACATAAATATAAAAATACATTAATTAGTTGTTTGTGCCTAAACGTAGTGTTATTTCTTAGTTATTCGTTAAGAAACTCTTCCACTGAATAATATGGTCTTTCAGATAGATAGGCTTTTGTCAATTTACGGAACTTAAGGAAAGAAGTTGTAGATTTAAGTTGCGAAGGGAGATGGTTGTATAATGTTTTGCCAAATATAATATAAATTCCTTTACTAACTCAGTGGAATGGATCGGTAAGTATACATCAAAGGTTGAATTTCTGGTGGAATAATCATTCATGGAAAAACATGTAGGTATGAAGAGTTAAAATCCTGTGATTTTTCAAGTAGCTTCTGCAATGTTATTTAACTGAAGCGAAAAAGATAGAATATTGCTCTTTTTTGTAATTTAAAAGAAAAATTATTAGATTGGGCAGCTGTACTAGAACCCCAAAAAGGAATTTCATATCGAAGATGAAACTCGAAAAAAGAAAAATATGTTATTTTGAAAAATGCTAAATTGCTTTTCTTCGAAACAGATCTTAGTGCATAGCAGGCTGAGGCTAGTTTTTTACTTAACAAATTGATATGAAGAGACCATAAGGTTGCTGTCCATAAAAATACCAAGAAATTTTACAGAATCAAAGATACTGATCTAGCCGTTATAAGAAGCCAGGGTTAAAGAGCTACTTTATAGGATAATGCTACTGTCTTATCCACGTTAAATGGATATCTTTTATCCTAACCATGTCACTGTCGATTTTCACGTATTTTTCCACAAAATTTATTTATTTATTACTTATATATTTATTTGGTTCTTTTATCGTTCAAATCGTCTGCTCTCACGACCATATCATATTTCATATGATCAGTCACAACAAAGTATATAAAATAGTAATTGTTTTTAATTTAACTTTCACTCCTATTCCCTGATAATCGCCGTTATTTTTTTATTATTAATGTCCACAAGGAGTACCCTCGGAATTTTATATATAAATATATAAAAAAATTTATATATTTATATTGTATATAAACATATTAAATATAAATCGGTTTAAATTGAATTCATCAACCAGACGTTTATTTATCAAAGAAATTACTGATCAGGTATCAATATGTATCTGTTCCTTTATATTTTTATTAAACCCACTCAATCAAAACTAAATTCAATCTTTGAACTTCTACTTTATTTTCCGTTAATTTGATAAATTCGCGTGGATAACAAAAAATTTTGGGTTTGCTTTGATTTTTATTTAGTGGGCGCCTTCATGAAAAGACGAACCGTGAGATCTTGTTTACCGACATATCACTTCTGATGTTCTCTTCTTCTTCATGTCGTTCCGTTGGTATATGGTTTACGTCTCTTTTTTGGGGTCTATAGTTTACAAATCCACTGAGGTAATCTTATGTTGTAATAGTATTGCCCGCTTCTATTATTTCTGGGGAAATTATCCGAATTTCCATGTTCTTCTGTTCGATTGCGATAGAAGGTGTTACCATTCCTATTTTTTTAGTGGTATTCTTGGTTGTCCCTGAGGTTTATTAAATTGATTTTTATTTGGAATCTATTCATGAGTCATTTTCTCCTTTCTCTCTTTCTGACGTGCTTTCATCAAAATGCCGAGCTATCAATTGCACCAACTGTTGAAATTTTCCATTCTGTAAATTTTGATTTATTTTCCCCCCAAAAATACTAAGAATTTCATCTTATTTCCATTCCATTTGTTTCATTTCTTTTTGAACATCTTCAACCTTTTTTTTCTGCGTTTCCAGTTTTCTATGGGTTTCTTCAATCCTCTGATTAACGTCTCTTTTTATTATTTTTAAATAGCCCTTTACATCATGTTTATACTTTTGTATTCTGTTTTCTAGTCTCAAAAAATTTTCTTTTTGATTTTCTAACTGTACTTTCATCATTTTTTTTTTATTTTTCTTTCCATTTTTCTTCTTGTTTTCTTGTTGTACTTTAATCATTTTTTTTTCACTTAACTTTTACTTTAACTTTTTTTCACAATCACTTATATCACTTGTTTCTAAATTTCGTGAAAAAGAAATTATTAAATTATACAAATGTGGTTTTTCTACCAGTGTTATGCTCGATATTTTTTTACAGTCCACCTCGTTCGGCGACATTTATTAGTATATTGTACTTTGAGTTAATTTAAAGAAAAAACAGGTGTTTTAACTATATTCCAGTTTAATAAATTGATAAAAACAAAATATTAATTAGTTGAATTAATAATCTACTCAAATATAGAGCAAAAAGATTTTTCAAGATGCCAATGTTTAATTCTATTGTTTAAATTATATCTAAGGGTTTTCTCTAGGAAATGAAATACCTTCACCTACTAATAGTGTAAAAATACATATGCAACAGGAGTAAAAGAAAAATAAAAGAAATGTTAAATAAAAATTTATCAAATATACTGACCCTGCAAAAATTTCATTACATAGGTAATATACAAAAAAAATAATATTAAATATACATATCGCTCTGATACTCTGACAAATTTAAAAACAAAACCGCACAGTCCAAATTTATTCCTCTTGAATTATTTTCCTGTGCTTACTTTTTTAACTTATTAACAATTACACGAACTGTATAAATTTTATTAACGATTAGAAAATTTCTCTGTGTAGAAAATTACGCACTGGATTCTCGTGTAGAACTCATTCGCTAACCGCCTTTCTTAGATCTGCTACCAAAACTTAAAAAGATCTCACATACCGATACAAACTCCTCTACCCTCTGGATACTTAGTTCTCCCAGTTCAAGTATAAATACTTACTTACAAATACTGCTTCCACTTTTCTTTTAAACACTTTGAAAAATAATATTATTTTATTTTTTAATACAAACTTAACATTTTTGTAAACCAGCAAAAACCTTGCGGTATATAACTCTCTATACTTTGATGTTGTCCGTATAAAGGCACAGCAGCAGAAAACCCAACGCTTTTCTTCAAAATAAGCTTTCCCTAGCAATTTCTTTTCCACTTTTTCTTTTTCGACCAATCACATTCTAGCATTTTCAAACACAAAAATTCCATTTATTTAATTTATCCATATGTAATATTTTTATGTCACAGTGTTAGCTGCCTTACTCCTCCTATAAGGCGGAGAATTTTCAAATTGGTTTGTGCAATATCTTGCACAACCGAATAAATATATCGATCGTAATTTGGTCTATGACTGTTGACAACTTCCAAAAATTCTGTTTTTAAATAATTTTCTTTAAAAAATTTATCTTTAGATAGAAGCCATGTTTTGTTTTTTCTTTATTGGAAGCAGTGAAGGAACTTTCTCCAAAATCCGGCTATGATAAGGAGCATTATCCATCACCACAAATGTTTTTTTCTGGCAAATTAAGAATGGGGTTATGTTTGAAAGATATTTTCAAAAAGTCAGTTCTGCTTCATTAACAAAGCCATTTTCACATCCTGCATGTAGGAGAACTAAATGAGGACCACGAGCCGCAGGAGCTTTTATGCTTGTAGTCAGGCCACGAACTAATGCACCTCTATGCGATACAATGCACCTGTCCGCCCATAATTTTGATACGCTGTGGCCTGCGTTTACCCATGACTCATCTAAACAGACGATATTGTAGCTTTCTTCGCATAGCGACGAATAAATCGTAGGTAACGACGACGAAACCATGAAATTATCTCCTCTTTCTCAACTAAAATCGACTTTCTATAGCATTTTTTAAACTTAAATTCGATATCGCACAACAAACGATATAGTGTACTTCTTAAAAATCGGGCAAATGCTCCGCAGCTTTTACTGTAGCCAAAACAGAGTTGATTGTCGGTGGTCTATTTTCCCGAAAGAATTGATGCACTATTCTGCTGATACCTCTCTTTTCTGTCTCATTGTATTGTTACGAACATGCTTTCGGCATGGCCATGTAACGGTTGCATCTCGAAGCACCGAGAAGTTTCCAGCGATATATCAAGCGCTGTAAAAATCCACCTTTCAAATAACGAATTTGAGGTGGGACTACTCCCGAATATTCTCGAACATAATAATTTGTATATATATATATATATATATATATATATATATATATATATATATATATATATATAAGTAACGATGATTGAGGTAGTTTAGTTAATAAGAGAGTACCGAACTGTAAACTTATATTTATATAAATAAATAAAAAAATATATTTATATAAATTCCAACCGCTCGTTTTATTTAAACTCGCTACAGTTGGTGTTCCGGTGTGAGATTTCAATATAAATTCAACAGTGACTTTTGAAAAAGACTTTTGAACTTTTGAAAAGTATTGTTCGTCGGGAACATTCGCGTAGTTCGGTAGTGAACTTTGTACTAAAGAACATTTTAAAAAAGTACGTGTGTGCCTGATCAAAGATGCTGCTAGTAGAACTTTCAGTAAAACAGTTGCGTGAGCAACTAGAAGAACGCGATGAAGACTGCAGCGGGTCCCAGAAGATACTCCAAGAACGACTGAAGACTGTTCTTTAACAAGAATGGAGAAGACCCAGAGACATTGCAGTTTCAATCAACAGAAAAAGCAGTTTTAACGAAAATAATTGATGGACAATTTGAGAATGTCTCACAAATGATCGAAGAGAGTTCTAAAAAAAATGATGATAAATTCGAGAACGTTTCTAAAAGATTCGATGAAACGTCTCAAATTATTAAAGAAACAGCTAGACAAAACGACGAGAAATTCGATAATATGTCTAGAAGATTCGACGAAGTATGTAATTAAAATCATGAGAAATTTAAAGAAGTCTTAAGAACATTCGATAAGATACAGAAAAATGTAAACGACAAGATAGAAGACTTAGAAGAGAAGATCAAACAATTAGAGACCATGATAACTAACACAAAAGTGCTACCACCAGTTAATAAAGTAGCCTTAGATCCGGTAGTGAAAAAAGAATCACCGAGAGACGAAACGATACATCATATGAGATTCAAATTGCCACCATTTGATGGAAAGTCCTCTTGGTCCATATACCTTAGACAATTTGAAGCTATTGCGACAGCCAATCATTGGACAGAACAAGAAAAAGCTGTTTCCTTGACTGCTACTTTACGAGGTGATGTTGCAGACTAGACAAACGTTACGGACATGCCCATCTACAACAAGTCTACAAAGTACAAATAAGAAGTAGAATCCAACAAGCAAGTGAGAGTTTGCAAGAGTTTAAAGCAGATATTGCTTGTATAGCGCTGTTGGCCTATCCAGAGGCACCAGACAACATTTTGGAAGAAATTGCTGTAGATGCCTTCGTCAATGGATCAAGAGACAGTGAACTACAGAAAGCTTTACGACTAGCAAGACCGAAAGTTTTAGATGAAGCGCTCGCCATTGCCTTGGAAAACGAGATAGCTAGTCTAGTTTCACTTAGCTATCAAGTACGAACCTCTGAGGAGAGTAACGAACGAAACGATAAACGTCTGGAGGAAATCGTACGGAAAGTAGTTCGTAACATGATGCCGAGGATACGTGAACCCAGATGTTTGAACGATAACAACGAAGGTCAAAATTCACCCTATAGTGCAAGAAAATAATAAAACAGTCAGAAAGCTAGAACAGATCGAGCACTTGACTGGAAAAAGTCATTCAAATACTGATGTTCAATCAAGACGGCCATACAGTGCAAATCGTGATCATTGTCTTGAATTAGAAGAACGACTTTGCCCCGTGAGGCGAACCACCGTTATTAATGATCAATGGCAGCCTCAACAGCTACAAGGCGCTCAAGCAGATGATCCATGTATAAAAAGAGTATTGAATTGGATGCGTCGAAGTGAAAGACCTTCTTGGCAAGACATTAGTGCATGTAACTTGAAGTCAAGTGTTACTGGAGCCAATGGAATTGCCTAGTGCTGAAAGATAATCTTCTGTATAGAACCTTTGAGAACGATGACGGTACGGAAACTAAGCTTCAGTTGATTGTACCTAAAAGTAAAGTGTCAGAAGTATTTCGTCAGTTACATGACGGTGCATCAGATGGACACTTTGGTATTACGAAGACTCTGCAAAAGGTTCGAGAACGGTTCTATTGGGTGAACTGTAAAGATGATGTAAGAAGATGGCGCCGGAAATGTGAACTGTGTGCAACCAGTAATGGTCCAGTTGGTAAAAAGAGGCCACCCATGAAACAGTACAATGTTGGTAGTCCTATGGAAAGAGTAGCAATCGACATTGCAGGTCCACTTCCAGAGACAAATGATGGAAATAAATATATCCTGGTAGCCATGGATTATTTTACGAAATGGACTGAGGCCTATGCGATACCAAATCAAGAAGCTGCTGTCGTTGCAGAGGTACTTCTTAAAGAATTCTTTAGCTGATTTGGTGTTCCTTTGGAGATCCACTTCGACCAAGGGCGAAACATCCAGTCAACCCTTTTCCAGTCAAACGTTTGTAAATTGATTGGTGTCAATAAGACCAGAACGACACCCCTGCATCCTCAATCCGATGGAATGGTCGAGAGAATGAACCGAACTATAGGTAAACACATGTCCAAAGTTGTATCAGAACATCAAAGAGATTGGGACCAGCACATTCATTTATTCCTAATGGCCTACCGGTCGGCCGTGAATGAAACTACAGGTCAGACTACAACCTGCCTGATGTTAGGTCGTGAAGTTCGTTTGCCCTGCGACCTAGTGTTTGACTGCAGACCTTCTGAAGAACATGTTGCAAGCGAAGATTATGTCGACCGCCTAAAGTTAAGAATGAACAACATTCATGAACTTGCCCGACAACACATCCAGTTAGCCAGTGACAGAATGAAAAATCAATACGATTCTCGATGCAAGAATGAAAGCTATGAAGTAGGTGATCTTGTTTGGCTTTATAATCCACAACGTCGTCGTGGCTTGTCTCCTAAACTGCAAAGACAATAGGAGGGTCCGTATGAAATTAAAAAGAGAATAAATGACGTAATATACCAAATTAAGAAGTTGCCGAAAGGTAAACCTAA